AGGTGGAGAAAGTATTCCATGAGAAAGGAGCCCTTTAAGGAGACCCTCATGCTGTTCCCTCTGCAGCCCCCCCCTCCCTCCCTCCCAGAGCTGTCACGTATCAGCTCAGGCTGAGAGGCTGAGCAGGGATTTGGGAGCCCAGAGCCACGATCCCGGTTGGAAAATCTCCGTGTCCGCCCTGAAACAATGGCAGGGGTTGGAGTTGTGTCATTCCAGGGATGTCTGGCTGGTGGCTTTTGGGATGCTGTTCCCTCTGTGTGCTGTCCCATATGTTCATGGAGTGCCAGGACAAGGGGGAATGGATTCCCACTGCCAGAGGGGAGATTAGGATGAGATATTGGGAAGAAATCCTTCCCTGGGAGGGTGGGGAGGCCCTGGCATGGGTTGGGCAGAGAAGCTGTGGCTGCCCCATCCCTGGAAGTGTCCAAAGCCGGCTTGGAGCAACCTGGGATAGTGGGAGGTGTCCCTGCCCATGGCAGAGGGTGGCACTGGATGAATTTTAGGATCCCTTCCAACCCAAACCACTCTGTGATTCCATGGTCTCTCCAGGAGCAGGTCATCCATCTCTCCATTAAACATTTCATTTTAAGCTCCCAGCTGTCCCAGCAGGTCCTGGAGGGCACTCACAGCCTTCTCCAGGGAACATTCCCATCCAGAGTTGGTGTGGGAATTTTTTGGGTAGAAGTTGCTCACGACCCCAAGGCTGCCAGAGCTCCAGGAGGGTTTGGATGATCCTCTGAGGGATTGTTGGGGTGTCCTGATGATCCCTGGGGGTCCCTTCCCACTCAGGATATTCCAGGATTCTACAGAAATCCTGCTGCATTGTTGCTGTGGATGTTTCTGTGTTCATAGGGACAAATGAAGCCCCAAATCCTTAAATAAAGAGGGGCAGGGGGTGGAGAAGAACAAAGGAAAACCCTGGGGAACATGTCCAGAACTCTTGGACAACGCTCTGAGGGACAGGGGGGGATTGTTGGGGTGTCCTGGGCAGGGCCAGGAGCTGGTCTGGATGATCCTTGGGGGGTCCTCCCCACTTTTTGGGAAATCATTCCATGATTTTATCCATGATTCCAAGTTTGCACACTCATGCCTTGCTCCAAAAGCCCAGGAGGTCACAGACAGGAAGGACTTGGGGGACCAAACCTTCAGCTGATGGAGAGCAACAAAATACACCCTGGGCTGGACCTCCACTGCCTTTTCTCTCCTCATCCCAGTGAGTCCAGAGATGCCCAGGGAAGACTCACAGACATCCTTTTGTCCTCAGTGTTTTAAGGAAAAAGCCCCCAGTGAAGGCATTGTTTGTTGGGAGAAGGAATTGGATTTTCAGCAGAAGCAAAATCTCCTCTGTTTGTTTGTTTTGGAAGGAAGGAATTCACCCGGCCCCCAGGGCCTGTCCCAGGAGGGAATTCCAGCCAAATGGTGCCAGAGGAACCCAGGCTGGAAGAGGGGTGGGAGCAGCTCTTCAGTTCCTTCACCTTCCCTTGGGATCTGCTCACACCCCGGGGGGAAGTTGTGTTTTAAATAACAAAGAAAGTCGTGCAATTATTCCTGCTTTTGCATCTTCGGGGATCTGAATTCCCACTGGAAGCATTAATTGACTCAGGGACAACCCTCCTGGGTCAGTGGATGTTGTAGAAGTGGAGGAAACTCTGCTTTTATTCCCTTTGGGAATATTTTCAACCCAAACGCTTCTCTTCAAAAGTCCTTGATGGAAACCTCCCCATTCTCCCAAAGGGGCGATAAAAACCAGCTAAAAGGGAGCAAAATATTAGTTTTAAATGCCTTTTTTATTCCCTCCACACAGCAAAGTGGTAATTTAAATCCACTTTTAAACGCAGTGTTTCACATCCAGTTGAAATTGGGTACGAAATTGGGTTGTAAATGTTTCAGGTTTGGATCCAACTTCAGTTCAGGTGCTACAAAACCTTTGAAAAATGCCCTTGGTGAGATCAGTGCCCAGTTGGTTCCCTTCTTCAGAGCAACCAGCCTGAGCTGCTGAAAGGAACATTTCCATGCCAGACAGCACCAGTAAATTCTGTTGTATATCCCAGGGAAACCTTCCCTATAGAAGATATCCCTTGTTTTCCCTCAGCATCGGGAAGCTGAGCGCCGGATCCCAAAAAAATCAATGTTTGAGTGGGAATTTTAAATAGTCAGAAGCTGATTATGCTGTTCTAACGAGTCCAAGGTGCTTTTTCTGGTAGAGATTATGGCCCCCCCTGGCTCCCCCCTCCTGTCAGGGAGTTGCAGAGAGTGAGGAGGTCTCCCCTGAGCCTCCTCTTCTCCAGGCTGAACAGTCCCAGCTCCCTCAGCCTCTCCTCACAGCACTTGTGCTCCAGTCCCTTCCCCAGCCTCGTTGCTCTCCTCTGGACCTGCTCCAGGACCTCAATGTCCTTCCTGAACTGAGGGCCCAGAGCTGGACACAGCACTCCAGGGGTGGCCTCACCAGCTGAGTCCAGGGCAAGAATCACTTCCTTTGACCTGTTGGCCACACTGTTCCTGAGCCAGGCCAGGATCCATTGGCCTTCTTGGCCACCTGGGCACACTCTGGCTCCTGTTCAGCTTCCTGTCCATCCACACTCCCAGCTCCCTTCCTGCCTGGCTGCTCGTGGTTCAGCTCTGATTCCACGGTGCCTTTCGCAAGTTGAGCAAGGAGACACGAGGAGTAACCCCAGAATAAACCCGGAATAACCTGGGAGTAACCCTGGGATAACCCCGGAGTAACCTTGGAGTCACCCCAGCGATACGGAATTTACAGATGGAACGTGTCGAGCGCGGTTTGAGCCGGGAATTAACGCGGCAACAGGATCAAGTGCCTGGAGATGAGGCTGCTGATGGATGTTGGGAGAGGAGCTGAGGGCTGTCCCCCCCTCGGGGGGTTCGCTCTTGGCCGGGTCCTTCGGGGAGGTGGAGTCAGGGAGGGTTTTTTTTAGGCAGCTAAACCCACCTTGCCGTGGTTGAAGTTTCTTCTGGAGAGGTGAAAAGATTCCCAAAAATCAAGCCTGATCCAGTATTTTTTGCACTCTCTGTAAAGAGAACTTCACCTGGAGGTGGGAAGGTGGAACTCATCCGTGTCCCACCACCTTGTTGTAAAGCTGAGCCAGCTTGGAAGAGGAAGCAAAAATCCCAGTTTTTCAGCGCCTCACCTCTGCTTTTCCAGGGAAAAACTAGAACTTCTGAAGGACAACTCACCCTGAACCTGGTTCCTGGAAGATGAGATCCCGTAACACGGGCTGGAAAAGGGCTTTAGACATCTCCTAAGCATCCGTATTTCCTTAATAAAATTTGATTGGTGCCTCATTAAAAATTTAATAATTTGCCCGTTCGAATTAGCAACAGATGGGAGCTGGAAGGCAGCCAGGCTTCCTGGCCTCCAGACTGCAATTTCCTTGGCTTCATTCCCCTCCAAAGGAGTCATCTACACATGAAAATCTATTTTTGTCAAGTGCTTGTTTCAAAGGGGGTGTTCTCCTCACAACTGTGCTTTCATTAGGATCCATCTCCAGGAATTCTTGCTGCGGCGCTTCCGTCTCCAGAGGAGGTGGGAGGTGCAAGTCCACCCCCTTTTCTGCATCGGTTTGGGGTCAAACATTTATTAATCTGACTTTCTGAGTCCCTTTGAGGAACGTCTTCTTCTGCTGCTTTTGGTATCTCGACGAAATTTGAGTCAAAAAACCAATATATGGTTATTTGGTAACTCACCTTTGCAAACGTGGCTCGTGGTTCTGTTCAGGCTGCCCAAAAAAAGGGGCTTTTTTTACGAGATCCCATCACCTTTACACTGACTTCACTTCAAAATCAGTGCTTTCTCTTCCCCTCAAATCCTTCTTGCTGTTGATCTCATCCACAGACCAAACCTCTCGTTTCTTTTTCATCAGCATTAATTTTCAAGCCTGACTGTGCTCCCAGAAACACAAATCAGAGGGAGCATTAAGCTGGAAACAAGCAATTATTTTGCTAATTGGTCCTTTCCCAGGATTTCTTGTGCGTTTTCCAGGTAGTTTCTCCTTGCCCTGATCCAGGTGGGACAATTCCAGCCTGGGTTAAACTATTCCCCTTTCCCTGTGGGTGCCTGTGGCTCGTTGTTCAGGTAGAACCATCCCCCCCCCACGACTTTTTGGTCGGTTCACACATCAAATCCAAATATTTCACTGCAAAGACAGCTGGGGGTTAATCCTGGAGCTGATGCAGGAGTTGGGTTCACAGGCAATCACTAATTACTGGACTCTCCAACCTCGAAATTCCCTCAGCAAATCTCAGCCAGACCAACACTTAACTTCCTCAGACAGTTCATGTGGAATTTTCTGGGTTAAAGGTCTTTTTTTTTTTTCCAGCCACAGATCAAACACTTACACGAAATCACCTATTCCCAGCAGAAGGGAAAACCTTATTATTTCAGAATTTAGTTTCCTGCTGTGCCAATATCCCCAATCGAGGGTCAAACCCACATTCCTTAGTGCAAGCAAAGCCCTTCAAAAATCCTTTTTTTTTTTTTTTGGTTTTAAGGGATGGGAGGATCCTGGTTGGGAATGGGAAACACACCAATTGCTTCTGCAGCATCTGGGGTTTTAAAGTTCAAACTGCCAGGGGATCTTTAAAGGGTTAAATTGAAGGAATTAATCATGTCCCAGAATGGGTTGGGTTGGAAGGACCTTAAAGAAGGTCCTTAAGGAAGGCAGAGACACCTTCCACTAGCCCAGGTTGGTCCAAGCTGGCCTTGGACACTTCCAGGGATGGATCTTTGCTCCTAAATAAAATGAAGTTTGATTGCTTTGCTTCCCAGAACGGGTGAAACCGCAGCCCTGAAACCGCCTCTTTGCCCGACTTCTTATTTCGAGTTCATTTTAGAGCCTGAAATTTCTCTTCTTTTCACCATTGCAGGGCTTTATTTTGATTTTTCCCCCTCAGAACTCGTTGATTTGCACCCGAACGGCCGAGGAATCCTCGTGTTCCTGTCGGGATCTAACCCCTGGATGTGTGTTTTTCCTGCCTTTTCCCAGATTATCGGACCGGGCCCTGCTTCAGCCAAGTGAACAACCAGATGTGCCAGGGCCAGCTCAGTGGCATCGTCTGCACCAAGACCATGTGTTGTGCCACCATCGGGCGGGCCTGGGGACACCCCTGTGAGATGTGTCCTGCCCAGCCCCATCCCTGCCGCCGGGGATTCATCCCAAATATCCGCACTGGAGCCTGCCAAGGTCGGTGCCACCGGGGATGTGCCCGGGCTGGGATGAGGGAGGGAGGAGGAGTGTGTGCCAGGGGAGCCAAAAGGGGGAATGCAGAGGAGAGGGCACCAAAATAGGGAACACGGAGAATAGGATGGGAAAATAGAGCTCTGAAACAGAGAATATGGAGAACAGGACAGCAGAACAGAGCTCTGAAACAGGGAATATGGAGAACAGGACCCCAAAATAGGGAACACAGAGAACAGGACATGAAAATAGAGCTTTGAAACAGAGAATATGGAGAA